TTGTCGGAAAAGAAAATATTTTCACATGCTACATTTATTACGCTACCCTGGTTAACACCACGAGGACGGCTCCTCTGAACTCTACAAGAATCCCAGAGCAGCGGCTCCATCTCAAAAGTACGCTGTAAATAAAATTCACAACAAGGTTACAGAGCACTAGGTGGACCCGCAGTGTATCAAGAGAGAGCAGGCGTTTAGGAGACCAAGCCCACAGATGTAGAAGGCAGTCCTGCCAAGGAGCCCACCTAGGTGGGCAGAGCCAGCGGAGAGCGGGGAGTGGCTGGGGCGTGGCGTGGCGGGGCTGGGCTGGGCGGGGGGCGTGGTCCCGCCCGCTCGGAGGCCGTTGAGCGGGCTCCCGGGAGCGCGCCTCGCCCGCCTCCTGCGCCCACGGCCTCCCTGGTTGCGCGTGCGCATGCGCGGGTAACAGTCGCTCCTGGGCAGCCCGGGCTCTGTTGGTGTGGGGAGACGCGGGCCACAAGTAGCAAAGAGCCGGACGCCTGGGCTGCTAGTCCCGAAAACTAGCCGGCAGGACAGGTTTGTGAGCACTCGGCTACCTTCCTGCTTCCCTTTGCACTCGGGCTGGGGTGAGGGATCGGCGTCCTGGCTTCTGTTTCGCTCTGGTGGGGGTTCCTAGCCGCACCCTGTTCTCCCACGGCAAAGGCTGAACAGGTCGGGGCCGGTAAGGGAGGGATGTTGAGTTCGGAGACGGGGTGCAGTGGGCGAGGCTTTGGAGTGGGCGCTGCCGGCCTGATGGGCCGTGGACTGTGTCCACCTGCTGCGAGGGATGCGAGCCAGCGCGGCTCAGTTCGGGCTTCCGCGGGCAGCGTCCGTTATCCCCGCGAGTGCCGCGGGCTCGGCTGGGCTCGGCTCTGCTCGGCGGGGCTCGGCTGGGCTCGGCTGGGTTCGGCCGGGCTCGGGTCCTCTCGGCTGCTTCCAAACTTCCGCCCACCCCGCGACCGTGGCCGGCGACGCCGGGCCACTCCCTAGGCACCGCGCGGAGACCAGTGCGCCCCTGGGGAGACAGCCCGAGGTGGTGTGGAATCCAAGGGAGCCCTAATTACTAGAGACTTATTAACGCTTATGGCCTGTTTACTATCAGTCAGATACTTCAGCTGCTTTTATTTATAGCATATGCCCAAACAGGGAGGTGGAGGGGTTTGCTTGTGATTAAAAAGCTGGCGGCCACAAAGCTCTGGGGGGATGGGTGGAGAGCCGGGAGGGGGAAGGGGAGAAAGTGATGAACGCAAAGAAACTTTTTCACTTAGGAGGAATCTGCTTGGAAGCAGTAAGCTCATGTTTGTTTGATCTTTCAATTCTGCTTTAATTTTGGCAAAACTCTTCCACATCAAAGTTGTGATTAAAAATCCCTTTTCTTTGGTTTGTTGCTGTTTACCTGTAAATGTGTTTTGATTTTTATAAAGTTCCAATAGTACATATACATTTAAGCAACATTTTTATGAAAACAACTGAACATTTAGGTATCATAACTTTTTATATTTTATTTACTTGTTTATTTTGCGGTGCTGGAGATTAAACCCAAAGCCTTGTGCTGAGCTACATCCCAAAAGCTTTTTGTTGTTTTTTATTTTGAGACAAAGTTCTTGCTAAGTTTCCCAGGTGGAACTCAAAGCCTGTAGTCCCCCTGTTGTCGGAATGTGTGGGGTGCGCTGGTGCCTGGTTCATGTTCTGCCCAAAGATCTTAATGGAGATGACCGATGAATGTAAGAGTTGGGCGTTTGTGGAAGAGGAGATGCAAAGAAGACAAGAGGCAAGATGTGTAGGAGCAGCCACTCCCAGAACAGGGGGGGCAGTGGCTGCAGAGTCCGCCTGCCGGTTAGACCTGGCGGATCCTTGCAGAGCTCCTGAGCTGTTCTGCAGTGTTTTGACAGCTCTTCGTGATTGACAGGTGACTCGCAGACGCTCAGCCTGGATCAGCTGTGGCTTGACAGCTCTCCAAGGTTGACAGATCAAACCCAGTTGCCCTGCCAGTTTACCCTGCCCTGATCTCTTGCCTCACTCCTGCATCCTCCCAAAGAACTGGAATAAGAGCCTGCGTCGTCATGCCTCACTTTTTCTTGTAAAGGGGCCTACATATTACACGAATTTGACAATCACTATATTTTATGCTGTTGGCTCTTTGTTTTTGAAAGAAGATTTATAGCTGTAGAATGTTTGCTAAAAGATTTGAGCTTTATATTTTATTTGTTCAAGGCACATTTTAAATAATTTCACTCCTTTATTTTCACTAATTATTTTTCATTTCACAGATAGTATGTATTTCCCAAGCTTTGGACTATGTTTGGGTCTTTTATTCATCTCAAGCAATGCAAAACTTATGAATGATGGTGTTGAGGTAGAAGACTCTGCTAAAAGTTCAGATGAGATTGATGTTGAAACAGAGAGTTCTTCAGAGGTAAGGTTATTGAGATATGAGTTATAAATTATTCCTTTATAAGATGTATAGCAGGCAATGATCTTTTAAGATTAATTCCAGTTGTTGGGCTAGCAAGATAGCTCAGCAGTCTAAAGCGCCTGCTTAGGCAAGCTTAGGCAAAGCACAGGGACTGCAGTTCAATCCCCAGCACCACATGCTGCGCCAGCCCCATCCTCAGAGTGGGCTGAGCCGACCCC